GGTGCGGATGATTATAAGTACACGCCAAGTTTCACGTTTCGCGGTCCCCACGGACCAGATCCCTAGGGGGAGGCGAAACTATGACACTCAGCATCGCATTTTTTTGAAATTTTTATTTTTCCCTCCCTTGGATCTCGTGTCGGGACCATTAAAAATTTGGAAAAGTTNTTTTTCCCTCCCTTGGATCTCGTGTCGGGACCATTAAAAATTTGGAAAAGTTCCAAAGATTATTGATTTTTTTCGTACTTTTTTTTGCTTTTTATGATTGTTTTTGTGCTTTTCCTTAGCTTTTCCTCGTTGTGAATTGTGTTTTCTATTCATATTATCCTCTTTGAACTCTCTTTCCATAGAAGGTACNGAAATTTCGCGTTCGTTAGTTAGGCAATGCTCCTCTGACTGATGGCCCTGTCTCCTGACTGTTCGGTCGGTCGAAGACTTTTTTCGCCAATGTTGGATCTTGTTTTGATATTGATGTATTCTTTCTAGTACTCATTCTAATCAGCTTCTCATGCTTTTTTCAAAAATGATATGCGCTCTCAGTTTTTTGGATCACGTGGAAAGTTTTTTTCCCGCAAAATTCTCCTGGTAGCGCCACCAAAAACTTTTTTTTTCCCTACTGCGTGCTTCTTTCTCAATTACCACGTTCATGTTTGTATTCATTNCTTTCCATAGAAGGTACGCGCTTCTCATTCCGTTTCTCAAGAGTAAAGTTGTTTTGCAACCGAGGAGACCGAGTCTTCCATTCTCCAAGTTGATATGTATTTTCCTTGTTGTTTTTTGATTCCATGTTACGTGCAATACTTATGAGCTATTGTCAATGTTGGGTCTTGTTTTGATATTGATGTATTCTTTCTTATACTCATTCTAATAAGCTTCTCATACTCTTCCCGATCATGGTATGCGCTCTCAGTTTTGTTGATCACGTGGAAAATTTCTTTTTCCCAAAATCCTCTCCTGATAAAGAGACTTATCATTCCATGCGTTTTGAAATTTTGCGTTCGTTAGTTAAGCAATGCTCCTNGAGACTTATCATTCCATGCGTTTTGAAATTTTGCGTTCGTTAGTTAAGCAATGCTCCTCTGACTGATGGCTCTGTCTCCTGACTGTTCGGTCGGTCGAATACTTTTTTCGTCAATGTTGGGTCTTGTTTTGATATTGATGTATTCTTTCTAGGACTCATTCTAATCAGCTTCTCATGCTTT